ATTCTCAGAGGCTGTATGCGACAATATTCAAGGAGTCGTCTCAGCGTCGCGGCCATGCTTCTGAAATGACAATCTCCATTCAAGAAGAAAATACATTCAAAGAGCAAGACCCAAGCCAACGATTCAATTGCGCTCGAGTTTAATATCAGAAAAGAACATCGCACAAGAATGAGAAATTCACCTTTATGAGAGTACATTTCACATTGGGGTTCTACGCCATTGTCGAGAGCGCTGCGGGAAAGTGGTGATAAATTTTGCAGACTCGAAAGGACTGTTAGAATTATTACGTACGCGTCCTCGAAAGGGACAAGGAACTCACAGCTAGGGAATCTTCGACGTCCTGACATCGACGGAAGTCTGAGTCAAGAGATCCACAAGAGATCTATCTCGGGATTCCATCGATACGTCACGTGTTATGTTTCCCATCACTCCAGCTAAATTATGAGCTCGCCAGAGCCAATCATTCGTTTTCGAAGTAGAGCTGTGCTGCCCATGTGAAGGAACCCGTTCCTATCGCCGTTTGCTTCTTCAAGGGACGAAGGATATCCCGTCTTGCCCAAACGCGAATGAGTCGTGACTGGGAATCGGACTCCAAAATAAAGTTACCTGCATTCGAGAGACGCGATCTGAAGCTTCAGTTTGTCTTAGGACCTAAATCGAAGGTGCCGAAAAGTTGTGCGATATCCATCCTGGCGACTGAACACTGAACCCTCTGGCCAGATATGAGTACTGGTTATTCACGTCCCAAAATTGGAACACCCAGTATAACGTCCTCGTCTTCAGTGAGTCATCGTGTTTTCATTATCTTTTAAAGACCCACTTATCTGCTTACACTTTGCCTTACAAAGGCTTTCCACCTTTCTTTCGATTCGGAGTAGAACTTGCGTCTAAAATCTTCTGCGATTCGCCTCTTACGCTTTCCACTGCGGCTCTGCTCAGGGAGGTCTATCAACTAGCTCGGCTCCTTTGCTCGGCGGCGCCTCGTCGATGACGGACCCCACTTCTTCATTGTGAGCATCGTGTCTAACTCATTCACATATGACAGCTCAGTCAAATAATGGTTTCGATCTGTTCGACATTCAATTAGTATTCGTTACCTCAGAAGCAACTGGAGAGCTTACTAGGAAGTGCCAGTCAACCTGTATACTATCCAATATCGAAGCAAGACGTGATACAGTGGAGATTTTTATCGCACTACCATCGCGCTGGACTAAGAACGGAAAAATGGGCCATCGTAGCTCCTTGGTATGAGTCGGAATTGGCTGCGGCGACTCTTACAGTGGCATAGAGTCGGCATGAGGGGTGGTGTGAGATGAGGAAAATAGGTAAAAAGGGGCAGTAGTCGTGATCGTCTAACGTCTGTGAAATGAGAGGCAAGGATCGCAACACGGTGCCAGACAAACAGTCCAAAGCGGTAGTTCTTTCGGCTAGCACGCTCATGGTTCTCGGTGCAACATTAAAAGTGGGGAGCTGCTATTTGGGAAATAAACGAATACAATCTTGCACGTCGGGTCAGAGAAGGAATTCATGGACGGTATATTGACTCACGGGTAAATACGCAATTCGGAACCGTCGATTAGTCCATTATAGAACCCTATTCTTCATTCCAACAGTAAGACGTGGCTTCACATGAAGGAATGGGGTACCCACAAGAGAAATCGGATGTTGGCGTCAAAAATCTGTCATAGATAGCGGGGCCTGTATGATCACTGCCAATGTCTTGCGATGACAGTGACCGTGGAACCGTCGGGTTACGCTCGCCATCAAATACTACCTTTTCATTTTGCTTGGCATGAATTCCATTTTTGAAGGCATTAGTGGTTGATGTGGAAACGTGCCGTCGAAGTCTTGATACTCTTTATTCTTCTAACCGGAACTGGAAGACTTCCATACATTGATAATCCAGTCGGGTATCCAGGACTTGAGTGCTGCCGGTTGGACAGCGCTTAGCCAGAGATGAGAAAGGACTGACAGCAAAATAGGCGGTGACGAGGCCGCGAATCGGACTTTGAATCGGACTCCAGTTCCCGGCCCGCGACGCGCTGTTTGGCACCAAAAGCGCGCTTCCTCCTTACACTTAACTTTGAACTGTCGACCGGTTCGAAACGGCCACTCACTCAAGATATGTCGCACAATTTTCTTGCAAGTACCAGACTAATTCTGCCATATAATCACCAGTTGCAACGGCACACAGCTACCCTCTTGCTCCCCTTCTGTGTTTATGGGGCTCGCCAGAATTCATCAATAAGATAACGATCACGCACATACATCTTGCCGTCGACAACCTAGTCCAAGACCAGCTCGATTACATACCTTGAAGCGGAGCAAATACGTCATCCGCTGCTAGGAGGATATTAGGAATGTACCGAGTGGTCCATGGCGTGTATTTGGAATTGTCTGCGACGCTGCAGGTCTTCTAATCGACGTGGGTGGCACTAGTTTTTCGGTGAGTGTGCTCTTTTGTTCCTTTCTTATATCACTACAAATTTCTTGCAGGACTTCAGGATAATTTCGCGTCCATCAACAGTGCTATTCTACGACTTCCATATCCTTCGTAAAGCGTAGCGATACTATTGGTATGACGTGGTGACTCGACGACATTCGAAGTGCCCCACCCACTTGTAGGAACGCGGTGGCTTTTTTTCAAGTGATCCAATCCCCTTATCATCGACCTCTTTAGCCCGCCACCGTCATCGAATCCAACTTTCTCCCCATGTTCCCCCCAATGGCGACTCCTGTCTTCTCACGACATTCAGTGCGACCGCCACCGTTTCTACCCCGTCAACCACAGTGGTGGTTGTCATTGGTGTTTTAACTGCGGACCCTGTCGTTGTAGTCATGATCCTTCCGCCGCTGCCATTTCCCGTCCATTCCTCTCGCAAAGATGTCTATCGTTCCTCGGCAACCAGTGCTCAGGGAACAGCTTTCTCACATCCATGACGGCCATGAGCTATGAGGGGTATTTCTGGAAAGGTTCCGGTTGTCGTGCTGTTAGTGGTGCCGCCGCCCTTTTCATCGATAACAAACTGCTTCGCCTTTCATATTGATTTTGGTGGTTGCAAGCGCTCTAATGGCGATTGTATCTACCGTATCAGCTCCGGAAGCAACTAATGAGACTCGTTTCGCGGTTTCCTTCGATGTCACCATACCGCCGGCCTCTCCTCCCTCCGCTTCCCAGCCTCTAACGGCGACGACAATCTTTTTTTTTTTGGCTTCAACCGCCACTATAGTCCTGAGCATAATCGTTGTCATCATCGGAAACGCTAGCGGATTGCTCATCGACACGGTCGATTTGAGAACCTGAAACCAAGGATGTGGACGATAAATCCAATTGCACGTCCGAGACGGAACCAGATCTCGCCTCTAAGATGGGTTCGTCGTCTTCTGGCGTATAACTGATACTTGGGTAGACTACCTCCCCTCGAGGCTCTGGAGGCACAATCATGCCCGTATTTTGGTCCCAAGCAGCGGTTATGCTCTCAGTGGGATCCTTTTGTTGTCTGTGGAGTTTAGACAATGGCGAAACGTTTCCAAATCGACGTGAGGAAACTCGAGGGCGCTAACATTCTCGGAGTGAGTGAATACTCAAAATGAACGATTTAACACACCTCCCATTTCTTAAGGATTGTTAGGGAGGAACAAGGGATACAGATTTTCCTCGGACCGGTTAGCTCCGTCGTTCTTTATATCCCTACCGTTTTTGGCCTTTTTGCACTTGACCATTAGTTGCTATCATGCATTCGTGTCTTTAACCCAGCTCTCCTCGGGAAATATACGCACGGCTCGTACTCTTTCTGCGTTGAATACGCATCGCGTCGCACATCCTTTACTGAGATACGGCGCTTTTTGATGTCGGCGATGCCTTTTAGTCCCGACGATGGTCAGAATCAGGTGGGTGATTCGATGATAAATATGCATGGATACTCAGAGGCTGTATGCAACAATTTCTAAGGAGGCGTCTCGTCGTCACGGCTTTTAGACAATTTCCGTCCAAGAAGAAAATCCATTCGAGGACCAAGACTCAGGCCAACGGTTCCATTGCACCGGAGTTTGATATCAGAAAAGAACACGGCACAAGAATCAGAAGCTCACCTTTATGAGAGTACATTTCGCATTGGGGTTCTAGGCCATTGTCGAGCGCGCTGTGGGTAAGAAGCGGTAAACTTTGCAGACCCCAAAGGACTGTTAAACTTATTAGGTACGCGTCGTGGAAAGGTATAAGGAACTCACAGCTAGGGAATCTTCAAACGTCAAATCTTCGTCGTCTCATCAGCAGCGACCTTCGTCGCCGCATTGGGAGTATTGCAGTTCCTTTTCTGGGGCGGCTATCTCTTGAAGATGGCGACAGTATACTCCGGAATAGCAAGGTAAGAATCACCTTTGCCTAGGATCGTGAGAGTTAACCTCGCCCCCCAGACTAGCTTCGAAATGAAATGTAGTCGCATACTTGAGGGCAAAGGAAGAGTCTTCGGGCTGCGCGTGCTAAGACGGGAAGAGGTCGACAGTCTCGGGCAGAATCGACGCCGTCACTATTCTATCGGTAAGACGGTATCTTCATGCCTAGAGCAATAGTCAGCTGAATGAGCATACTACTTGGAGACATCTCTACTTCAAAATTAGTGTGGGGTGATGAACGATGCCAAACTCATCCGCGTTTGGACACCGACGAGAGATCCTTCGTTTACTGACACGAGGTGCAGAAATTCGTCTGCCACCCAAGCCTGTGACGTAAAGCTGGAGCCAGTGCTGGGCGATGTTTTGTATCCTTCATCGTGTGTTGCTGATATGTATTTCGTATCGCCAAAGAAGACAGCAGGTGTGGTCGATGGACGCTCATATTGCCTAGCATCACAGCAGGTATAGTAGATATACATGGGTCAGCTCTTAAAATATGTTTCTGTTCGCAATTTATAACATACAGACTAGGTATTCTCGGAGTCCCATCTCATGCAACTAAATCATGTGGGCTAGCTGTTACAGAGCTTTATTCAATAATATGAACACTGATGGTGAAACGGTTATCATGCTTGCCTTCCATGGATGTTGAAGCATGAGAGCAAGTGGTAGGGGTTCAATTCCCCCTTCGGCGTATGGGTTCCTTGGCGGTTGGCTTTTAGGTGTTCAATGTTTTATACGGCGCTGCCGCACGCACAAACTTGGTCACCGACTCAGAGTGACCGCATCATAGTACCTGGGTCTGGGTTTGCTCATTTGCCTTGCCTTCCTTTGCGGCGTTCCCCTGAAAGATTAGTTTCTAGAAGATTGGATCATGCGTCATGTTGGTATTAAAATTGACGGTATACTTGGCTTCCCGAAAAAACTGGCTTTGAAGGTATTGGATATGGAAACAACGGTCGATACCTCTTTTCAAGTTTGTTGGATGCCGCGTTGGTTCACTGGCCCATTGGTCCCGGATCCAGTTCTTTCGAAAAGCTTCGTGAGTATGATTTTGGACCTTCCATAAGGCATAGCAACTGAAGGTGCTACTTGTTCTATAATTTAGGCTCGGGATTAGTGTTCTAATTTTCAGCTTTCACAATTGAGAAGGAAATATAAGCACGCATGAATGACTTTCCTCCATTGAGTACAGTGGTGGCTACATGGAGGTTGCGTGTAAGACAGGAGTTATTATGAACGGTGACCGTAGTCAGGATGCATGAAGCAGGAAATGATATATTGGAGGTTTACAGAGATATATGTAGCCATAATACGAGAGTAGCTCGTATCATGCACCTAAGTGTACACATGTCGGTGATGTCATCACTGCTGAATGCAGGGCTTGCTTACCCAGTAAACGCATCAAGGTCATTCTCACAGAAGATCGTCTTCTGTCACCAAACCACTATAAACTTGGCGCATATAAATATCACCATCGTAATCCTCCCCAGCTACGGGAGGAAAGAAGTGTTCCAAAATTGTTCCACTGCTGTCCTCGAGCCAAACAGTGACATCGGGTTGGGCATTGATGGCAGCCAGTCGCTCATCAAACATTTTTATGGAGGTCCTGCCAACTGGGTGAATGCTCGCACGCTTCAAAAATCCATCCGCCAGCCGTGACTCGACGATATCAAGAATGAATTTTACATGAGGGAACCGAATGATATGGTGAAATCGCAGCGTGAGGGTATGTAGATGAGGAAACAACGAGGAAGGGGATTTCATATTCGCAAGGAAAGCTCGGTTGAAAGCAATATCGCATTTAAAAGAATCGAGTGAAGGCATCTGGGATAAAATAGCCACTAGGTCGTCGTAGGTGCCACACCAGTGGACTTCCATTGTGCGGACCGAGCATTCTGAATGGCGAAGGAAATCTAACACAGGAGATCCTCTGTGGTCGGTACGTATATTGGCGAACGGGTCACATTTGATTTTTAAAGACCGAAGATGGTGCGCGGAGATACAGTTCAACGCACGGGTATCTCCTATCATTTCAAGGTGTTCGAGTGCAAGCATCTCGATCCTCCCAAGAGTATACTCGCCTTTCGAAGCACCCGTTACCAGTTCCACCAGGCCTGAGCAGATATGGAGAACCCGACCAAGGACGGCCTTGTCGACTACCATCGCATGCAGTTTCCGCAACGATTGAAGTTGAAAAGAGGGGATATGTACGAAATTGTTCAGAAAGTAAGGATGACCTGTAATTTCTACGGATTGCCACTGATGACTGTGCACAGCGAGAATGGCGCAGAGAGGTTGATATTCGGAAGTGGGGATGTCCTCACCACGCTGCAAAGGGAGAGGGAATGATATCGATATGATGAGAGGACAACTTCCGGAGCGCTGGAGTATCTCGGTGAGGATTTCTTTCCTGATTTCGTTAGCATTCTTCCGAGATACTAGGCTCCGATCTGAGAGTGGCAGGGTGTCCTTTCGGGTGTCGCGCATAAATGCCTTCGTTATGGTAATGGTCGACCAGAGTGATTTAGAGGAATTCGCCGTACTTCTCCATGCACTGTTGACCTTCCCAAGGACCCAGAGTCCATCGCAGAAATTGAACGACTGGACAGGGTTCTCGCGATTGGTGAGGTAGTGGCGAAATATCTTTGAGAGAAGTTCTACGGGAAGTACAGATGATGGATCCATGACTAGTATTGGATGTCTAGTCAGTACGCTGGGGGACGCATGATGTAAAAGGACGCACCGGTGGCTTTGAAAAGAGTGGCTTTCGATGATGGACGTTTGACATGAGGCTTGGATGGCCGGGCCGCAGACTTTCCGCAGCCGGGTCTAATTTTGAAATTGCCGATAGCATCTTCTCAGAACGATTCGAGCAGTTGGCTCGTACGTAGCCTCTTTCTGGTCCTTTATGTCCTCCTAACCTCTCTGACAGAAGTACGTTGATAATTGTGGCATTAAACTCCTTTGCATACACCAGTGACTTAGAGAAATGACGAGAACATGCTTGGAATAAGCCTCTCGTAAGACGGGGGCTTGGCCAAACAACGGTACCTTCTCGCATTTACACAGAGCTAATTTAGCATCGCACTAGGCATACCATTCCATACGTCTAATAATTGAAACTATCTATAACTAAGTGTCTGATGCCCGGTCTACTTTCGGAATCTCTGTAGCAGACGTCACAACAACGTCCATAACGTCTATGGTTGAGAGTTCAGACGAGTTATCGATTAAACTACACGAGCAGAGCACTCCGGCTGCACAATTTCAATTCTACAACCCAATCAAGTCTGTAGGGCAAATTCGTAACTTGTAATGGTACAGTAACAATCGTTCCAGCCATCATGTCTGACTCTACTAACATACTAATTTCGATTCGACAGCCCAAATGATTGCAACATCCATCTCCACCTACTATGTGACGACGCTAAATCTCTTCTCTCCTCGAAGCATTTACCAGTTGAATGCTATAAAATGCATCAAGAAACGCCTGCACTAATTCCCTCAGCAACTGCACCCACCATAGTCATACAAACCAAAGCTCAAGATGTTTCTTTGCATTCTCGCGTTTCTTCCTTTCCTCTCTCTTGCTATCTCGAACATTGCTTTGGACAATTTTCTTCCATATTTACGTTGTGCTTCGATTCAGTCATCGATTCATTATAGGTTGTATCATACTTGTCGTATGCCGAAAGTTCTGAAGTAAATGGTAAATAAATTGCATGTAGAAATTTAGCCCGGGCGACTGAGTTTTTGGGCTTCTCGGTTATCGTGTTCCCTGTCTAATGGAAAACAATTTCACCGTTCAACGATTTCCGATTCGTGTTGTTTGATTCCTAGACGACATGTAACACTTCATCCGAGTATATACTTTATTCCTGAGGTGAGTCTGTACTATGAAATCAGATTCTTCATTTTAATGAACAGCCGTGAAAAAAATCGTGCATGTTACTGAATTTACACTAATCATGGCTGCATCTGAGTGCCGAAGGGTCAGCTCGGAGCCAGTACTATATTCGCCTCTTATTTCTCAGTGCGAGTCTGTGCTTCAGTGATAGGAGGTTAGACACCTACGATTACGGAAAAGTTCAAGTTCAATGCATGCAACTGTCTCCCGGGCTATGGTTCCGTTCTGCATCCGAAACTGGCAGCACGGGACAAGTTCACTCTTTCCACGACCTTGACGACCTCAGTGACCACGGCCGCCGTCTCCTGGTATTTAATGAAAACATTTGGAACAACTCTGCCACTTAAGGGCGTCATTTCCCTCCAGAAATTCAAGCTGTCATTTAGCCCGTGATGGCGAATCACTTTCAGAACCTGACCGGATGATAATCTCAAGGCTGCACTTCCGTGATCACCGGGTCTTCAGGTAAGCTTCTAGCATTGAGGTCATGAGTAGCATGGAACGGTGAACTGGCTGGATCAGGTGCCATCGTTCGTGTTATACCTAGATCGTGCTCGGAGGAGAAACGGAAATCCCACCATTTTGGCAATCTTCTAATGGCGCAGCGAATAAACTTCTATCTTGTCAGATTCTGAACCAAACCTTCCCCTTCAGATACGGTTTGAACTGTTTCACTCGATGTCTTGTGGCTCTCAGTAAATCTGGACTCTCGCCATTACATTTTCGCCATCCACACAAGTATCTATTATCAACCAATGAGCGGTCGATGCTGTTACCCCAAACGTTGACCACTCCGGAGATCTGCCCTTTCTTTTCCTGCCACACTTTCTGATGGCTTTGCACTGTAGGATAAGCTCCAAATGGGCAGAGTCGAAGATCTTCTTCCTTAGTGCCGATATGGTGTTTTCTGGACTCCGTCTCTTTGGCTTGACAAATCCTAGGTACACGTTGTACCAGGTACCGATAGTAAAGCGGTCGGCCAACCATGGTTGGTGTCTTTGGCTTCAAGTACTATTCAAATTCTTCACCCAGTGACAAATCAGCGGCTCGGCCACCGTATATCAACTAGGTCAACGAATATTCAAAGCAGCCTTCCACGTTGTTGAAGAAACGGAGAAATCGACCTCAAGTATGCATATTCTGTTTGGAAGGAGGCGACGATTTCAGTAATGACGGTAAGGCATCCTGGGAACTATTAATAACCTCGCCTTCATTCTTTGGAATTTTTCATCTTCACGTGAACTGACTTGGCCTTATTAGTCTGAAACTTACGATCTTCTTACCTGGCTATTATACTATTCATTTACCACCACGTCTGCGAAGCACTCCACAGAAGTGAGCACGAGACTTGTGACCTCTCTGAAATTCCGCTTCCTTCAAAATTACGTTCATTAACTTGGGTTAAATACCTTCAAAGAGGACCCTCAGCCCATGCACAATGTGGGCTCGCATTCTCTCTTTCTTTTTACTTCTCTTCGTTGCATATACTACTGCTGAGTCTCCTGTGAGTCTTGGTCATGGGTGCACGATTCAAGGCGCTTTCGATGCCATGGGTGGTATATTCAATAAGATTGAAGGAGCTCTCAGCGCCTTTTCTACCAACATTGATGTTCACCATGCTATGGTATGTCATAATGTACGTCTAGGCATACCAAGAACACTTCCTTCCTACTTTCATCCAAGATCATCAAGGGCGACATAGAGATCCTAGGCAAGCAAATGAAAGACGCCGTAGCATGTATTCCGGTATGCTCTATCGCGGCCATAAACGTGTATAATGCTGACG